GTTTTCGATTTTTTTTTTAAATAAAAAAGTGATTAATATATTTTATATTTTTATTTTATATTTAATATTTTAAAAAATATATTAAATATAAAATATATTGATCTCTCTTTTAAGTGCACGTTGGAACGAATTTTTCTGGCATATCGAGTTATTATTACCTTTCCCCCCTTCCGTTCTTCCCGCCGTGTAAAATCGAATGGCGACAAAAAAAAAAGGTAGCAGCGAGGTTTCGAGCGTGTTCATAAATGGGCAAAAATTTCAAACCGCATTTTCAGGCCCGACGAGAGCAGCTCGTCGTATACTTTAGTAATTGTCTCGGAAGCTCGCTCGCGCGCGCGCTTTAATACGGCGTCGAAAAAATTAGGTAATTAAGATGACCGCCGCCACACACTCCGTTCTACCGCCGTTGCGCCCTCGGAGTCTTTCGCCTCTTTCGTCGGGACGAGGTTTTTACCACGCCGGAGATGCCGCAACCGCTACGATATTGCATGCCGGCGGAATTTTGATGCCGTAACGCGCCCTGTACGGGTACGGATGTCCGCTCTAGTGCCTAATTTCACGATTCTCAACCCTCAGCGGGGACCACACGTGGGTCCTTTAGACCCCGTGGCGCAAGAAAAACGTTGTCGCGTAAGGAATAGTAAAACATAAAAAATGAAGTCATCTTCCTCTTTAAATACGGTCATACGAGTCCCATTGTACTGAGAAATGACACCTGCTGAGAGTGAAAACCATTAGGTGGCGGAGAAAGCGAGCAGTAGCGGGTAGTTCTCAACACCAGACAGTTTTGAATAATAACCTTTCTCCGGGGACTAAATTCGAACAACGAACCATCATTTTTTTTCGAACGAAAACTGTCTGCAGAATACTTGTATTGGTCACGTGCGGTGCAACTTTTGTGACAAAAAAATGACGGTTTATCGTTCATAAGTAGAACTCATAGTAGAAAAATTCTGTTATATTTAAATCTTTAAAATTAATTATTTTTTTCTATTTTGATTGTTCTATCATCAATTATTACCTTAATATAATTATTTTATGTTTAATACTTTTTTTAGTTTCTGTGTGCAAAGAGACAAATTATTATCTTAAAATTGTTGATTATTAAACATCGAAATTTGAATAAATGTGCGCCTTTGAACAATTTATAATTTCATAACAAAAACATATGTTGTAAAAATAAGCTAAATTATTCGAAAACGAAATTTTACTTTAACAGAATTTTTAAACTCAAAGAGGTTTGTTACAAAGATTTTTAATGTTGAATTTGAAAGAATGCTGGAAAAATATAACGCTATATCAAAAGTTTATAAAGCAACTCTCAATTTAGCAAAGAATCCAGAACTCTAACATAGTATATGTATGGTAAGTTTTAAAATATTTTATACGAACTCTCCTCTTTTCTTAATTCATTTTTTTTAGCCACTAGGCCCGCGGCGGGCATTAATTTTTCTCACCGCGGCGCCTAAACCAACTCCGACGTTATTTACCGGAGCGAAACCCGAGAAAAACGAGGTAGTAGTCGCGGCGAGAGCCCCGTTGCTGCATCGGTCGTGAACAACGCCGCCGGCCAACCGCGAGACGAGCGAGCGTTGTTAGAAGAGCCTTCTGCCATTTCGTAAATCAGCCCGGCGAGCTAAAAGCTTTGCCTGAAGTCGCTGCACCGTGAAAAGGTCTAATGCACGTCGCCGTTTCAATAATACGCCAGGCTCGCGATATTGGCGGCTAGAAAAACAATTCGCCTTTTTTTTTTATTTTTTTTTTTTTTTTTTTTTTTTGTATTTCTTTATCTGACGTCATTAGAAGCCTGAAAAAACACATCCTCGCTATCGTAACGAGATAAAAAACGGTGGTTTTTCCGTCATCAAAGCTGTGGTTATATATAAAGGGGGAGGATTACTCGAGATAATATAGACGTGTATGGAACAACGAAAGGTCGTCATCAAAGAGAATCAGGCGCTATTTTATTACACGAGTGAAGATAATTTTCAGTCTTTTTTCCAAAGATATGTCACAGAGAGAGACACGTGTAAAAAGTAAAATAAGTATATACAGGATATTCGAAAATTATACTCCGTTATGTTTTTGCGAGGAGGGAATAATCTCGGACACTTTGTGGGGGAGGAATACCGTGGACGAGGGCGAACGCGTGGATTCCCCGGTATATCGAACGCGAAAATGTTCGAGGGAACGAGGGGAGTGACGTATCGTCGACGACGAAGGAGATCGAGATGGGACGCGTCTCCGGCGATAACTGGCGTGATTCCAATGGACAAAAGCGAGCACGGGGGTAGCGAGAAGGGCGAAATAGAGGCGGACACGATACCCGAAAACGGGTCCAGTCATTCTCTCGAAATAGACACCTGGATGGAATGCCGGCCCCTCGGTAGAGAGCTATTCCCTCTATCCGACTTGGCGTTTCTGTCATCCGTCTCTTTCTCTCCCCGTATCTCGTCTCGCTTTTTGCCTGTATGCGCACCATTATCCTTGGCTATCATTAAGCTCCCCGACCATTATGGTCGAATTTCGGATAACGTTTATTGATCAGTAGGCTCTAATAAAGAAATGATGCTGTACGTTATGCTAATGGAGAGCGGGAAGGGCACTTGGACTTTTTCGACTTTATAATGATGAGTAACAAGACACATAAGATTATAAAGAAATTAGAAACACAGTAAATTAATGATTCTTCTCTTGATACTTTATAAATACAATCTTGGACTTGCTCGAGCTTAAAGTTTGCCATCATATTTTACGCGAATATTTATATAATAATACAAAATTATTTCTTATTTTTTATAACCGGCTCTCATCTCGATTTTCTCTTATGACGCAAACTTACGAAAATCTCTAAAATATTTTATATCATTCTCCTTTTTTGATTCGCGAGATAGATAATATCCACGATTTTATATAGTATTTGAAATTAAAAGAAATTTTGCACCGCCGATCTTTCGTTCCATTTCGCGCATCACTTTGTCTCCGAGAAAACAAGTAAATATCACGGACCGCATCTTTCCTCCCGCGTAGCTGAAAGGACACCCGCGTTCGTGCAATCTCGAAAGGCATACCGAGATAGAATAGAACGAACGACAGGCGGCGGCAAAGAAAAGCGAGCGTCGAAGAGTTGAAGACGAAGGCCACCGAGAAAGATACCGATGGCATTTAGTAGCTTCGCTCGGAACGTTTTAGATAATGACCGGGTGGATTACCGAGTCTAGACGAGGAAGAAGGGGTGGGCCTTCCTCTCGTTCGATTCTGCTGCTGCCGCCGCCGCTGACGAGAGCAAGAGAAAGAGAGAGAGAGAGAAAAAAGGGAGACGGTAAAAGATGGACCGG